TGTCCTTCCTTTACATTCCTATGTCACTGCTCTTGGTATGACTCTTAAAGTAGCTACACCTGGGATTTCTCCTAACCAAATCTTAATTTTCATTTAAAAAGCAGTTTCCAAAGCATTACCTAAATTCTTTTAAAAAGGATTTTGCCACACTGTAAAGTTCATTCCAACCTTTTAAAAAAATTTTTATTTATTATTTTTTATGTGTACGTGTGTATTGCCTTCATGTAGGTAAGTGCACCTGTGTCGGGCAATGTCCGAGGAGCACAGAAGAGGCTGTCAGATCGCCTGGAACTGGAGTTACAGACAGTTGTTAGCTGCCATGTGGGTTCTGGGATTCGAACCCAGGTCTTCTGCAAGAACATTCAGTGTTCTTAACTGCTGAGCCACTTCTCCAGCCCCCATTCCAACATTTTAGCCTAGCATCCTATGTCTTCTACTTGACTTACCATAATTCCCCATCTTCTACCTCCTAATAGTTTTTAATAAATGTTTCACATTTTCCCATGTTAGTCCCCTCTTCAAGTACGTTCCTTTCTTCTGCAGACCCTAGATCCCAATTTTACATTTCAAATGCCTATCCTTAAGGTTCTAATCAAATGCTACGTAATGCTGGGATGGGCTTGTGGCACCTCCCTGGTTCAGAATACTTTTAGCTTGCAAAAAGCACTGGGTTCAATCTCTAGCACCAAGTGAACAAATAACAACAACAACAACAACAAAACAGTCATCCTGGTCCTAGTCTAGCTCAAAGCACTTTCTTCTTCCTCTGAACTTTTATCAGTTGTGTTTATGCCTGTTTCTATACCTACCTGTGTTTATTACTGTATGTGAACTCCAATGTGTCTCTGTAGTACTTAGCACAAGGCCTGGAGCACATCAGGAGCTCAAAGAATGCTTGCTGAACAATGAATAATCAATCAATCATCTTTTAGTGGAGTGGGGAAAAAAACTAAACATTCCCAGAATAATAAAACAATCATGTGGTCCCTATACAGATTACTGTAAATATGTGTGCTGAGAACACTTGGTGTTCTCTTTACAAGGCAAAAATAAGAACATTTTAAAAATGATTTTCATAAAAATGGATGGGAAAAATTAAGTCTGACAAAGGCTACTCAGTCTTCAATCTCAACAATTCATAATCTTAGAATCGTGCATAACTGACACAGCACTACACACATACATACAGAGCTCTGTGCACTTAGTATTACTGCTAAGGAAAGTAACAGCCAAGAAAATATGGAATGTCATCTTTTTTTTCTTTTATGTGTATGAGTGTATTGCCTGCATGTATGTAAGTGCACCCATGTCGTACAATGCCCACGGAAGTCAGAAGAGGGCATCAAATCCCTGGAACTGGAGTTATCGACAGTTGTTAGCTGCCATGTGGAAATCGAATCCGGGTCCTGTCTCACAGAAAGTTTTCTTACTTTTCTTTTTTTTTTTAAAAAAGCAAGACAGGGCCAGCCGGGCATGGTGGCTCACAACTTTAATCCCAGCACTCGGGAGGCAGGTGGATCTTTGTAATTCAAGGCCAGCCTGGTCTACGTAGCAAGTTTCAGGCCAGCTGGGGCTACAGGAAGACCCTGTCTTTTATTTTTGTCTTTTTGAGGCAGGATCTCCCTGTAGCCCCAGCTGGCCTGAAACTCGCTATGTAGACCATGCTGGCCTTGATCTACCTGCCTCTGCCTAAGCACTGGGATTAAAGGCACACACCACCATGCCCAACCCCAAAGTATTTTGGGAATAAAAAATATTTTCTTGCTCCCTTTTGTGTGTGTGTGTGTGAGCGAGCACATGTGCATGTTCATTTGGGTGCAGGTAAATGTACATGTGTGTTATGATGTGTATAGGTGAGAGGATAACCTTGGGTGGCATTCCTACTCAGGTAGCACCCACTTCCCCCCCCCCCCCCCCCCCAAAAAAAAAAGACAGGGTTTGTCCTAGGCCTGGAACTTGCCAAATGGGCTGGCTGACTAATCAGGAAGTCCCAGGTATTTGCCTGTATCCACCTCCCAAGTGTCCAGTTTACAAGAAAAAAAGCACAGCTTTTTCTAAAAATGTGGGTTCTAGGAACAGAACTGGGATCCCTGATGCTGCAACTGAGTTTTTTCCTTAGCCCTTGCTCAAAAAACTCTGGAATGATCCCTAACACGTTCTTAGCAAGCATTCAAAGTACCACATTTCTGCCACTATCATCTTTCCAAGCAACTGTAATAGAATCCCTTGTATTTCTAGCCCCCTTTTCATCCCTTTGTGCTAATTCTGTTATTCTCTCTACCAAGTATAGTCTACTTTACAGCACTCTTCATCCTTTAAGTTCAAGATGTGCTGAAACCTTATCAGGCCTTGTGTACTCATATACTTGTACTTAGCCCAGGAGGTCATCTTGTTTATGTGTCTAGGGTTCAGAGTCTTCATGGCTTTAGTCAGAGACAATTCTGAAACTAGAACTACACTGAGTACATTAGAAGGAATATCTATCTCTTCAAAGGCCACTGAATCCCACAGACAAAGCAGCCAGGAGGTGAGAGTTTCTAAAAAGGCCTGAACGTGTTCTCATTCTGTCTCTCATTCTCTCTCTCCCTCCCTCCCTCCCTCTCTCTGAGACAGGGTTTCTTGATGAACCCAAAGCCTACAATTTTGGCTAGACTGGCTGACCAACAAGCCCCCAGGATATCCCCCCCACCCCTCCCACCAAACAAGCCCCTAGCATTGTGGTTACAGGTGACTGCTGCCATACCAAGACTTTTTATATCAGTGCCTGAAATCCTAACTTAGGCTTAGGGAAGATATTTCTTATGTACTTTACAGACCAAGGAGATTTTAAAACGCAAGAAAAAAATATTTCAGAATTTCTAAAAAAAGGGAAGTGAGTACCAGTTGTAGAAAATATTACCTTAGACTTTCTTCAGGTTTGTATTTGTTTTCTTTATGCCTAGACTGCCAAACACATACTTGATTTTCTAGCACTTCTGACATTTTGGTTGGCAACAGCATCCTCTTTTTCCTTGCTGGCTTAGGGAGACTATATCCTATTTATCTTGTCTTATTTGTCTCTCTGACAATGAGGCTTTTTTAGTGAGAAGTAATGTCAGCTGCCAGTTACTTAAGCAACTACTCCTATGTGGTGAAACTACGCCTGTGTTTTAATGATGCAAAAGGATATATATTTTTTTAAAGGACCAATGTTTTAAGTGGAGAGACCCTCCCTGATTAAATATCTGAACAATCTGCTAAATATACAGTGAAACTAGTTCACAAGCCTCCAAAGCCTAAGCTAGGCCTAATTATTTCTTGGGTCCTTGTTCTTTCTAGACTCTTATTTATCTAGCCTTCACCAGAATGTTCTCCACTTTCATTTTAGAATTAGCAGATGCTTTCGTTCTAAAATAAGAAATCCAGGGCTGGAGAGATGGCTCAGTGGTTAAGAACAGAAGACCTACGTTCAAATTCCAGCACCCACATGCCAGCTAACAACTGTCCATAACTCCAGTTCCAGGGGATCCGATGGCCTCCTCTGTCCTCTGGGGGTACTGCACAACATGGGTGCACTTATATACATGCAGGTAACACACACAAACACATAAAATAAAAATTATAAGGAAATTCAAGGAAAAAATATAATAAACATACAGAATAGCAACAAAGAACAAAAATCAAAGGTAACACAGCCTTGGTTTAAATTTCAACTTTGCTGTCTAAATAATTATACAAGTTTAGACAAATTGCTGAAGTCCTCCAAGTACTACTTTCTTATACAATGGGAAAAAAAAAATTAACAGTACCTACAACTCATATAGCTGTTTCTTAAATATTATGCATGCAAATTGCATAGCACAGTACCTGACACACAATAATGTTCAATAAAGGATTAGTTGCTGTGATGACAACGCTTTCCATCTCAACATTCTATATTTATAATATGCCTCATAATAGTTGTGAATCAATAAAGTAAAATGGACTCATTTTCTCCTCTAAATATAAATGGTCAACAGCCATCCTGGTAATTTGATAATCAAATAAAGCAAAGAAGCAGAAGAAAGATACCAGCATGAATAAAGTGAACTGTTAGCAAGAACATATTAGATGTAAGTCATGGGATGTGAATCAGAACAAAAAGGTTGAGGAAACTAGAGAAAGCAGAAACTAGTGATCTTAAAAGAGCAAGAGAAATAAAAAGACTAGAAAGAATTTTACACAAAAAGATTTATACAGACCTATTTAGAAAAGGCGGGGTATTTTAAAATTAGAGAGAAACACAACCTGCTAAAGCACGTGGTTTGTAAGACTATAAATGAAAGAGCAAGGCAGCATTCAAGGTGTAAGAAGGGCATTCATTACATGAGTACGCCAACAACATTGTCACAAACAAGCATAGGAAGAGTTATCTGCAATGTTTGGCCAGCCAACCAAAAATAACACAGAAATGCGCATGTTAACATTTACATGTATAGCTAGGCTTATTAATCCTAAATATAGTTTAGGGGTATTAAAAAAAAATCTATTCAGTTGTCAAAGGGGGCCATTTTTAACACTTGAATCTCAAGATTTATCTGTAGACTAATGAATTGTTCTGTGTATTTAAATGACTTCCCTTTTTAATAAAAGCTTTTTATTCCTAAAATATCACTACCATAATCTTTCTTAGGTTCTTTTTTAACTAAAGAGACAACTTTGCTGGGTCTACTCATAAAAATAAACAAAAATAAAAAATAGTGCAATTTAAAAAACAATGAAATTAATGTAGACACAAAAGATCCACACTTCAAATGGGTTATTTGTCCCAAGTCAAATCAGAATGACCCAGATGAAAAAGAATCACTTGACTGAAATCCTATCTTACAGTTTACAAGTCGCTGAAAATTAATGTGTATTTAGACTCGACTATGGCTTACCAAAAGAAGCTATAAATATCATCTGAATTAGCACCAGTCCGGTGAGGAAAAAAAAAGAGTACTGTATCAAACAGACTGCTGTGATTATCTGTTCAAACATACCTGTACCAGTCAAAAGTCCATCACTCTTCTTTCGTGCATAAGCGCGTAAGTGGTTGGACAGGCTAACAGCACTTGTAAACGTCGTATTGCAATGCACACATGTTCTAAGCTTCACAGGCATACCTATCATTCAAAAGAAAACTATAATCCAGTTCTCACTTCAATGAGTGAAATTTTCTTAGCTTAAACGTGTGTAGAAAAGTACCACAATAGAGACTGTTTGTAGACCGCTCATTGAGTTAGCTTAGCTTAAATTAAGGCGGGGAGTCAAGCATTAGTAGCTGTAGCTGGTGGTTAGTGTTAAGAGCCAGCCCCTGCTCTTTGGAAAGGTGAAAGGGGAGTGGCTTAAACCTCTAAGCTCCTAGGGATTTAACACCTATTATCACTTTCTTGCAGATTTCTGTGTTACGCAGATCACTTCTTAAACCTACTAAAATTCAAGCTCATGATTTGAATAGCAGAGTTCTGTTGTGAAGGTTCAAAGCTCACAACATTACCAATAAAAGAATTAAAAAGTCTAGTTGACAAAGTGGTAATTAAAGTGTTTTACCCACAAAACCGTAAAAGGCACTATACTAAATCAGGCTTTCTGATCAAGGCTGGTAGAAAAGGTGGTAAAACATACCACTGAACAGCTGTTAGGCACAACATTTTTATTCAGGGCATTTTATGTTCATTACTCTGAAAGCGCAATCAATAATGAAAGTTAATGATTTGAAGTTTTTTTCTAAAATCTTTGTGCTAAATAAATGATCTACTAGTTAACATCCTAGTCATCACTGGAAAGAAAACATGTTGAAACAATGAAGAACCTCGAGCTTCTCGGACAACCACCACTCTCCCAAAACATTTCCATTAGTTTCTTCAACAGTATAATAGCCACAGTAATGCTACACCTTCCTCAATGCAGCTTACGTGCTTTCTATGAATTTTATCCTTTTATTATTTTTTTATTTTATCCTTCTTTTAAAAAGCTGAATGCTACTAATTTTGAAAGGCTCTTCATATGAAAGGCACCCTATTAACCAGAATCCTATAAACCAGTTTTTCAGCCATTTAGAATACATGGTAATTTCCCCCACACCAAAACTGCGATACAAATGTTTGATATTCAGTGCCTGCCCAAAAGAACTCATCATTGCAGTCATTTTATTTTTTTCTAAACCACGCAACAATTCTTTTATCTAAAATACACACAACACAGTGCTCCAACCCTGAGACCATGTATGTAAACTTGCAACGTCTTAACCTCCGAAAACCAAACAAACAAAAAACCCCACAAAACAAAATCTTCTAGGAAAGAAATACAAATTAGACCTAAGAATACCAAATAAAGTGTACCACATCATTTACCAATACAAACAAAATATCCCTTTTATATTCCTACATAGCAGGAAAAATTTTGGTCCACAAACACTGAGCCAAATCATCTGTTCTGATTCACAACTATAAAATCCAGAAGCCCAAACAAGTATTTTTTATACTCACAGCAGTTCTCTAAAATCAAACCATCCCATAATACAATGAAGACTCAGACAGGGAGATGCTTCTTTGGGTCAATAACAGCATCCAACAGGCACCAATCCTTTCAGTTTAAAGAAGCTGTTCCATACTGTCTTGCCTAAGCAGTGGGAAAACCAATAGCTAAATTCTGAAAACATCATCATTTTGGAGCACAAGCAAAAAATATGCCAGAGTTTTTGCCTTTTAAATAACGCCATGCTTTTGAACAATATCCATCTCCCATGAGAAACCATTCTTTGGGGCCAGCAAAGTTTATTTTTACAGATCAGTTTATTTGTGGTGTGTGTTGTCTTTTGCTTTTGTTCTCACCTTACATTCAGACCAAGAAATGAGGCACAGAGACCCAGAGCTGATGGGCATCAATTGATCAGTTAAATAGAAATAACAGTAGAATAACCAATCTGTTCTGCAAAACAAGCAGCTTAAATAAGAAGAGTCTCAAAGTATTTTGCACAAATATCCCATTTAACAAAGCATAACTGAACTGTTATTTAAAAGATAGGAGTCATAATGTCCTCTTACCTGAGTGCATAGTCAAGTCCATTTTTTGTGGTTGATACATCAATGGACTGTCTTCATTTAATGGAAGAACACATTTCTGAACAAATCTCTTTCTTGCAGTTTGATTATGGACCTTTTGAGGAGAAATGGCAGAATTCCTTTCTTCTCCCATCCTTTTATTTTTAAGAAGTTCTATCAGTGTAAGAGACTGATTCTTTTTTCCACTGGGGATATCAGGTTTTGTTTCATCACATTCATTTAAGAAATTCAGCCCCTCTTCCTCTGACATAGACACTGACAGAGCTTCAGTCTTTAGGCCATTACGGTATGTTTCAAGAGGTAAAACATTTTGAGATAGGAAGTCATCACTTGATGAGAGTTTTTGAGCTACAAATGGTCTGGGAATAATACGGCGACTGTTCAATGCCTTTAAGATTTTTTCGTACTTTTCTTCATTTTGCATCATCTCATTTAGAACACAGATCGGAGATTTGTGGGCATCCCATTTAGTTTTCCCAAGTCTTTTCAGGTGGCCTCTAACATGATTTGATAACCCAATTTTTGTATCAAACCAACCACCACAGAGCTGACAAGTATGTTCAGAAGTAGTTTCAGATTTTTCAATAGCTAAAAAAAATGTTTAAGAGTGGTATCAGATTCTTTTTTTATGAAATACCATAAATGAATTCACTCTGAAATACGAAATTAAGTGATTCTAACAAGGACCAAACTCAAACAAAAATTTCAATTCCTTTTAATTTGAATAGATATATTAGCCCCAACTATCTCTAAATGAGAACTTACCTTTTCTAACTCGCTTAACAGGCGTCCCTGTGCCAGTTCTTTTGAAATGTTGCATTTTGTCACTTGTGGCTATTTGTTCTGGTGACACAACATGACGGGCTTCATAGCTTAATCCTGCTCTGTGAAGATGTCCTCGGACATGATTTGACAGCCCAACACCTGTTTCAAATGTTGCTGGGCAATAAGGACATGACTTCTTCTCAAGAGACAAGTCAGTCCAATGAAAAACAGAACTATGCTTTGACAATGGAGTTTCGGTAGTATCTAAATGCTGAGGATCGTGTATCTCATGTAAAAAGTTGTTAGTGCCAGCATCTTCATAATATTCAAAATAAAAGCCATCATTTTGATCATAACTAAGGGTAGTATTGTCTCCAGGATCTTGACTTTCCGTCTTGCTTTTAAACAGAGGGAATAAATTTACAGGCTCCTGATTAAGATCACTGTAGGTTTCTTCTTCTATGGCCTGTGTAGTGTAATCACCCAGCTCAACATTATCCCAGGAACTATCATCTTCTGTTTCATAACTATCTTTCTTTTCAGCAGAATTGAGTTTTTGCAAAACAACAACAGTCATCTTATGTAAAAAATCAGGATAGCTATCCAAGTCTTCTCCTCCAACAGAACTTTCCTTCTTCGATCCCTTAACTACTCTTTTCACAGCTACACGTCTGTGGTCTTTGAAGTTTTCTGGTCTTTTGGTGTCTGGGTGATGAGGGTCTGAAATAAAATTATGAGAATTACTTGTTGATGAAAACAAATGTAAAGAATTTAATGAATTAACTTCTTTTTTGAAATGCAGTGGATATGATTCACCTGATTTTTTGATCGTCCTGTAGTTTCCATACTTGTGCCTATATAAATAACTATTTGCCTTAGCACTGGGTTTTTCTTTTGCTGCTTGCTGGAAATACTTTGGTTTTTGGTCAATGCTGCTTTTTATCGTAACAGTCTTGTGAGGAGAGTTGTTTTGATTACACGTGTTCACACCTGACTGGGCAATGCTTTTCCGGGCTTTTTGTATTCTATGTGGCCGCTTATGGAATTTGGAAAAATTACTTGACTGTGAGTTTGGTCCAAATGTTCGTTTAACATCTTGTTTTAAAGCAGAGTTCTTTGGAAATGTGGCTGACTGTTGCTTACCTAATTGCTTAGTGCTATCAATTTCTATAGGTTCCTCAAGAATGTCACTTTTTCTTTTATCAAGTCCAAGAGGACTACCACGTGAATCAATGCATGCTGAGGAATGCAAATACTCCATGTGTTTTTTTAAAATATTTCTGGCTGAAGTAGTAAATGGGCACATCTTACATAGATATGTAGCTGATTTTTTGGATGACCCTATAACAGAGTCTTTCACTAAAGTCTTTTTTTGTGTTTTTCTCTGGGTTGTATCTGAATTGACTACAGGACATTTCACTGCTGCTCCATGAGCAACACCTCGATGGCATTCCAATTCATTTTCTGTCACTGCCATGAAGTTACACTCTTCACAGCAATAGTACCTTTTATCTTTCTCATGGGTTTTAGCATGTTGCACAAATGTCTTAGGACAATTGGTACCAAACACACACTGAGGGCATTGTAGTCGTGCACTTCTTCCTTCATCCTGGAGTTCTTTCAATTCACGAATTTCTTCCATCAACTTCTGCCTTCTTTCTTGGTGAATAATCATATGTTTGAGAAGAGAATTGCGATCTCGAAATGTCCGTCCACATTCTCTACAAGCATATGGCCTTGGGACATTGAGATGGCGAAAGTGACTATTCCCATCTAAATGATACATCATATGCCTGTGGAGGTGCTTTTTCTCCCTAAAATTCACATTGCACTTTGTACAGGGGTAGAATGATGGCTCTTCAGTACTGAAAGTAGCAGGTGACTCAGAATCACTCTCTTCACATTTCTTTTTTAAGGTATTTGAAACAAAAGTGCTAGTATGAACAGGTGAACTATCTTCTCCACATTTATCTGGGTTATAAATTAGATGCTGAAAAGCATCTACAGATTCTAAGTCTTCATCAGCTGATTCAGGCTTCACTTTTGACAATGTGTATTTCTGTGACTCTATTGCTTGTACCTCTTCATTTTGCTCCAGAAACTCAACTTCAAGCATTTTTGACTTATTGGCTACACGATTAGAATCATTAAAACAATCCTCTGTATAACGAGTTATTTTGCTTACATCCATTTTTCGCTTTCTCTTTTTTTCTAGACCTACTTTAGAATGAACTGGAGGTTTATCCACTGTTTCATCATTAGTCATAAGAAACTGAATGAACTCTTTTTGGGGATCCCAGTCTGCATCATTTTCTGACTTAAATTCATCTGTACCTGAGGAGATTCTTGCTAATGTATTGACACAATCATCTTTTACCAATACATCATCACTATCCTCACCCACCTCTACTTGGTTTATTAAAGTGCTCTCTGACTTTATACTACTCCCTACTGAATTCTGAACATCACAACCAACTGAAGTAGAGGTAGGTAGTTTTTTAATGGAATGGGTTGGATTCTTAGCATATGCTACATCTGATAACAAAAATAGAACTTGGTGCTGATTTGCTTTTTGTGGTGTAGACAGCTGAAGATCAGCTGCTGCTTTCAAAGTTGAGTAAGATTCTGTTGTTGGCTGATCCACTGGCTGTCCAGTGGTTAGTGAAACACTGCCTTTATTCATACTGGAAGTCTTAGTTAAGGAGGAGTGTGAAACTGGTCCATTAACAATAGCTCCTTTAGGCAAGGTACAGTTTTCATTAGAAACAGTAGGAGCACCAGCAGGTTTAAGGAGAGTAGACTGGCCTCCACTTAAGGCTTTTTCAGATTTATCCTCTGATAATTCTTCAGACAGAGCCAATGTATTGTTTTTTTGAAATGTTTGACAATCTTTTGGTTTGTGAACTCCACTCTCTTTCTCTGAGATGAAACTGCTGCCATCTAGGAGTTCTTCTTTAGCACCAGTAATAGCGGTGTTTATCTTCAAATCATCCATATTGTTGGCAAGACCATTTAACACATTTAGTCTAGAAAATGGAAAACAAAAATTTAGATTTGCATGAAAAACATACCAACAGAAATGCATGGAGAGTTGAAAGTACACGTTTATTAGCTTAATTTTCTACTCTTTATGTTGAAATTCTAGTAATTTTCCAGAAATGGAAGAGATTTTTAAAGAACTGACCACTTTAGAAATAAACATTTTTATTAAAAATAGAATTTTTACTTATTAAAAATATTTTTAAGTATTTTGAAAATATTGGGTTTTTGTGTTCTAGAAATACAGTATTTTATATGTACAAATATCTAGGGAGATTCCATATACTCACAGAATATAAATGAATATACTATGTATTAAAAGATTAAATCATCAAATGTAAGACTTCTAATAAAAAGATTTGGCTTAAATAGATTTATTAGAGACAGTTACTCCATACAACAGAATCATTTGAATTATCATATATTGCAAAGAAAAAAGTTTTGTCACTAAAAAGCTCATTCCTGGAGGAATATAACAAAGAATTACATAGTAAACAACTGTGTCTAAATCAACATCTGTAGTCAATGTCAGTGGCTTACTTCCATAAAATAATTTCTATTTCTAAAGTATTTTAAATTGTTTTAGTCTTATGATAGTGTACTGCCAAAATTCTACTAACTACAAAACCAGTTTATTCATGGGGTCTCATTCATTTATTCAAATTATTCTTACTTGTCCATTAGGAAAGCTAAAACTAATCAAGTTTTATGCTAAAATTCCATACACTGAGATCCCAAAGTCTAGGCATTCTCTTAAAGCAATTATATGATCTCACAATAGGGCACTGGGCTAAAACTATATGAGATACTATATTTATTTCATATATAATGTAGACAAAAAAATGTCAAAGTGGTTTTGATCACACATTGAATTATTAAAAGAGGACACTACAATATTGTAAAGGGAGAGTCTCTGGGACACAATCACACCATGGTAGTAATCAATGCCCCTACTATGAAGGATTCTCTTACATCCTGGCCATATTCTGCTCTGAGAATTGGCAAGATAATACTAAGCTACTTGGAAGAATATAAACTTTGTAGGGACCTAGTTACCATCATGTTTCTAAGAACCACCTGACAAAGGTACTAGGCAATATTTGTTCAATAAAGGACTAATTGTTGAATAAATAAAAAACTTGAAAAAAGAAAAATAGCTTTCTTTCTATGAAATTTGAGGACTGCATTCTAATACAAGTTCCATCATGATTCTGACTTCTTGACCCATAAACTGCAGTAATGCTTTTAAGAATACTGAGCTGGGTGTAGTGGCCCAAGCTTTTGATCCCAGCACTTGGGAGGTAGAGGCAGGCGGATTTCTGTGAGTTCAAGGCCTGCCTGGTCTACATAGTGAGTTCCAAGGCCAGCTGGGGCTATAGGGAGACCCTGTCTCAAAAAAAAAAAAAAGAATACTCAATTTACGGCTGGGTGTGGTGATGCATGCCTTTAATTTCAGCATTAGGGAGGCAGAGGCAAGCAGATCTCCGTGAGTTCCAGGCCAGGTGGGGTTACAGGGAGACCCCTGTCTCAAAAAGACACACACACAGACACACACACACACACACACACACACACACACACACAAAACAAAACAAAAAAACCCACTCAACTCCAGGTAGTAATTATTTAAATTAGTGGTATAGCTTCATAACTCTCTTCCACTTGAACATAGCAGTATAGTTTATTCACTATCCAAATAGTCACTGAGCACTTACTCTGTCTCAAGCACTGCTCTAGTACTAGCGATAATAGCAGTAAACATGACACATGTTTCTGCTCCTCAGATTAATACTATTTTAAGGCAGCAGGACTATCAAATGCTATGAAGAAACTACGATGTTTTTAAATAATTTTCACTTAGGATACAAATTCCATGCTTTTGTAAAACATTAAATGTAGTTCAAGAATGAAAGATTTCTAAAAAGCAACTTTCTCATTTCATAACACATACTACTTTCAACAAAACGTTTAATACAACAAAGATTGCAAACATACATAAATATCTTTCTTTGGCATTATTTATACCAACAATCATTACTCTATCCCTCACACATTTTTTCATTTCTGCTTTGAGACTGGCAAACTTCCATAGTAATAAAAATAGACTTCCAATAAGATCATATTCAATGATATCACCCCAAAATGGTGCTAATGCAGCACCCAGCAGGAGTCTATATCACAAACACAGAAGTTAAAAATGGGCAGCACATAAACATGTGTTAGGAAAGTGTACAAATGTCAATGAAAAGCAAAGTGAGTCTGATGCTGTCTTGCTACCCATTCCTGATATTTCTCATTGAACTCAACAGAAAGAACGCCTCAATATTAACAATCTCATAAATTTGAAATGAATGACAGTTTTTTAACTAGCCTGAAAGACACTTTCTGTTCCTATTTATTATAATCATAGAGGTAGACAAATATATGCTCAGTCAATTTGAAGCCTGTATTAGCTTTTCTCAACAGGAAGCAATGTTGCTAACGAAGTGGTAAATTCAGTGTTAATGAGTGGCTTCACTGTTACCACCTCAGAGGTAAAACCTTCCATGTTCTATGTTCCACCCATCTGTTCTGGTGTTAGAGGTTGAGAGATGGAACAGACGCTTCCCATTTAAAGCAACTTCACTGGTACCCCCGAACAGCAGGGTGACAAAGTATAAGAACATCATGTTGTCTTCAAGACTGTACCCTCATTACCAGAATGGCTTTCTAAGACCCTTTCATAAACTTACGTTCAGAAGACACCATTTTGCTCAAAAACTTTAAAAATATACATTTAAAATATATTGTATCCATAAAATACATCTAGTTTAAAAAAAAAACCACACAACATTGTTAAAATCAGGTCTTCAAACAATTACATTTTTTATGTTTACATACGGCAATATGGCTTAGCCATCAACAAATTCATAATTATCTCTACTCAAATTAGTTTTAGGTAAGTGGCAAGGCTTTCTTTCTTAGCACACTAATTTTGACAATATACATCAGTTAGAAAATATGCTGTATGGAATGAAGTCAGAAAACCAGGGTTTTAGGAACAATTAAAATTTTCTGGGTTTAATTTTTAGAATATTGTCTAGTGGTAAAATACTTTATACCTGTTCTTCGTAACAATATTCAAGACACACAGCTGTTGAAGAGAGAAATAATGAAAAACAATGGATCATTAAACTCTGCTGCACTGAATAAAGGATCTAGAATTTTCACATCTACTTCCTGAATTCATGCAGAACTATACAGCATCCAGGTAAGAAAGCATTTGACCCATAAGCTAATTTTACACTGTATGAAATGGTTTTCAACTACCTTGACATGGTCAAGTGTATACAGCAGGGCCACCAATACCACTTAATATTACTTTAACAAAGGAACATGCATGAAGATAAACATTATTAGATTTTAAAGAAGAAAGCTAACAAATTTCAAATGTACTATGTTATATCAAGGGACCTGGATTTCAATTCAGTAAGTTCAAAATAGCCATTAAAAAAACAATGTTTAGATACCACTACTAAAATCCTTCTCCATAATCATATAATTATACTCTTCCTCATAACTGAATTTAAAGCTGTTCTTTAAAAAATTCATACTTTAAAAAAACTGCAAATGGGGATTCTAAATCTACATAAAACATATTTCAGTTTCCAGAAAATCATAATGAGTTCTACAGCTATAACTGCCTCTAGTTATATACTATGAGCATTAAAAAAAGCACAAAGGTCAGATCTGTCTTCAAGATGACAGACCATCACTTATATGCCTCAAGCTAGTCTTATTGTCTCAGAAATCTCAAACATCAGTATTTTTGCAAACTATCAGCACTTGCTATAACACCCTCACTACACTACATCTTGAGGTTACTACAGAAGAAATGAGGTGATAATTGCATATTAGCATAATTATTCTGTAATCCCTCTGAGCAAGCTTCCTAGGTCACTCAGTAATTCAGATTAGATACAACCTTCTTGTCATCAAATCTATGCTGTCCACTTTCTGTTCATGAATAATTCTTTTTTTGATAAAAATTAGCTAATTTCATTCTTCTATGTACATTATTAATTGTATTTATTGCAAGTAGGTTAACATTTTGTGGGTACTTATTACATAATGCCAACCTTTGTCACATAGTATAATTTCACACAAAATACAGTACAATTTGCCCTTACTGCAAGTTAGTTCATTAGTAACTATATTGCACAGCTATTAATAAATTATAATGTTGCCCACTAGAGTTATAGTTAGTATCTGTCAGGTTTTCACAAACCCTGTGTTCATTTAAGAACACATGACAGCTTCAGTTAGTAATATATGAGATTGGGTCAAGGAGAGAAAACCATTCACAACTGTCAACCTAATTGCAAAACAAATCTTAATTAACTATATTTAAGTTACTATAGTATTTAAGCCTGTAAGTATCATGTACAATGTAACAACATATATACCTAAATCTTACTCACTGCACAATCCGCTAGGAGATAGATTATATTCCATAAACCTATCACCCAGGTAGTAATCTCATACGGGTATCACACTGAAAGGAAATACTACAAAAAAAACTCACTGATACAAAAATGTGGAGGTTGACCCCATGCCATTTAATAAAATGAAGTTGGTACATCTAGTCAAATGACCCATACAGTTACTACTCTACAAACTATTCAAAGTGTATCATACGGAAAGCAGAACGCACAGCCAACTGATAGCTCCATGAGAGGAAGACTTGTCAGAAACACTATAGAACATAATAAGACTGAACAGCAGGTAGGATCATTTGGAAGGTCTTTTCTAGTATGTAGTTGAAATGTCTAATCTTTAATTATATTACTAACGTGTAACACTATTTGAAACTAGGATGAGAATTGAACAACTAGACCTTAAACATTTTACTTTCACCATTACCTGAAACCACTTGTAATATGCTGAGACACTGACCCTTGAACAATGAAAATATGGCACTAAATAGCTTATGTATTGAGGTCACACA